CCTGAGGCGGACCCTCCTCATTCCTGGGATCCCCCTGCCCTCCCGAATTTTTTGGGAGACCCTCACCCTGTCATCCTGGGAGGATCCTCAGCATTCCCGGGATTTTGCACCCTCGGGGGCTGGGCGGCCCCACCCAGAGCCCCCCAAAATGTGGGAGCGGAGCCGGCGGCAGCAGCCGCTGGAATTTTTATTCCAGGGAGAGGGAAAAAGCGAGGGGGAGGGAGGGAGGGGGCGCTGCCATCCCGCTTTTTCCCCCCCCTCTGGAGCTTCCCAAGATTCCAGGGAATGGGGAGCTCCCACCCCAAACCCCTTCCCATTCCTCCACCCATCGCTGGATGCTTTTTCCAGGGGGGAAAAAAAAAAAATATGGGAGATGGGAGGGTCTTTGGCTTGGAATTCCGGGTGGGAAAAGGGGTGGCAGCCCTGGGGGGAGGGGTGGATCGGGATCTGTCTCCCTGCCACGTGCGGCGGGATGGGAATAGGATTGTGAGACTGGGAATGGGATTGTGAGACTGGGAATGGGATTGTGAGATTGGGAATGGGATTGTGTGACTGGGAATGGGATTGTGAGACTGGGAATGGGATTGTGAGACTGGGAATGGGATTGTGTGACTGGGAATGGGATTGTGTGGTCAGGAATGGGATCGTGTGACTGGGAATGGGATCATTGTGTCACTGGGAATGGGATTGTGTGGCTGGGAATGGGATTGTGTCACTGGGAATGGGGTGACGTGGTCAGGAATAGTATCATGTGGTCGGGAATGGGATTGTGTCACTGGGAATGGGATCATTGTGTCACTGGGAATGGGATCATTGTGTCACTGGGAATGGGATCATTGTGTGACTGGGAATGGGATCGTGTGGTCAGGAATTGGATCACTTGGCTGGGAATAGGATTGTGCAGTCGGGAATGGGATCACCTGGCCAGGAATAGGAGGGCGTGGTCAGGAATGGGAGTGCCTGGCTGGGAATGGGATCATGTGGTCAGGAATGGGACTGTGCAGCCAGGAATGGGATTGTATGGCCAGGAATAGGATTGCCTCTCTGGGAATGGGATCACTTGGTCAGGAATGGGATCACCTGGTCAGGAATGGGATCCCCTGACCAGGAATGGGATTACCTGACAGGGAATGGGGTCATGTGGTCAGGAGCGGGACTGTGCAGCCGGGAATGGGATTGTATGGCCAGGAATGGGATTGCCTGTCTGGGAATGGGATCGTGTGGCCGGGAATGGGATCACTTGGTCAGGAATGGGATCACTTGGTCAGGAACGGAATCACCTGGCTGGGAATGGGAGGGCGTGGTCAGGAACGGGATCACCTGGTCAGGAATGGGATCCCCTGGTCAGGAATGGGATCACCTGGTCAGGAATGGGATCACCTGGTCAGGAGTGGGACTGTGCAGCCAGGAATGGGATTGTATGGCCAGGAATGGGATCACCTGGTTGGGAATGGGATCACCTGGCTGGGAATGGGATCATTCCATCCCTGCTGGAATTTTGGGATGACAGAGGCAGATCCCCAACCACGACCCGCTCCCATTGGGAACGGGGCAGGGAGGGAATTCCCTCCCTCCTCCAAAAACCTGGAAAAGTGAATTCATCCAGGCAGGAATGGGGCTGGACCACTCCCCTCCCACCCATAGGGATGGATCCCATTTCCCAGCCATATTCATAAGGATCAATCCCATTATTTTTCCAGCTGTATCCATGGGGATGAATCCCATTTTCCAGCCATATCCATATAGGGATGGATCCCATTTTCCAGCCATATCCATATAGGGATGGATCCCATTTTCCAGCTGTATCCATAGGGATGGATCCCATTATTTTTCCAGCCATATCCATAGGAATAAATCCTATTTTCCATCTGCATCCATAGGGATGGATCCCATTATTTTTCCAGCCATATCCATAGGGATCAATCCCATTATTTTTCCAGCCTTATCCATAGGGATGGATCCCATTATTTTTCCAGCTGTATCCATAGGAATAGATCCCATTTTCCATCTGCATCCATAGGGTGATCCCATTATTTTTCCAGCCATATCCATAGGGATGGATCCCATTTCCCATTCCCCCTCCAGCAGGCAATTCCCACATTTTATCCGGGGCATGGAATACCAGTGGATTTTCCCAGGGAAAAGCAGGAATTTGGGCTGGGAATGCCAGCAGCAGGGAGGCAGGAGCCAGGGAATCAATTCCAGCCGGGTTATCCGTGCTCCAGGAATCCATCGGAATCATTCCCACCAGCCCCGCCCCGGCGGGCACCTGGAAAAGTGGATGATGATCCCAGCAGGAAATTCCCACATTTTGTCCCCATTCCCACTCCCAGTAACCCCCAGAAGCTGCAGCTGGGGGATTTTTGGGATTCCCGAGGCAGATCCCAGTGGGATTGAGGGGATGAGGGCTGGGATTTTTTTGGGATGGGTGGGGCGTGGCACAGCCCTGGAATGCTCATTCCCTAGGGAGCCGCAGGGGTTTAAGGATCCCTGTTTTAAAGGAGGGATTTGGGATTATTCCTGGATTTTCATCCCAAAATTCCACCTCGTTCCATGCTTCGGGAAGGGTGTTTCCACGGGGAATGCCACCCAAATCCCCTGGGAATGGGGAGCAGCCTGGATTATCCCGGTTTTCCTGATTCCCAATTCCCATTCCGAGCCCCAGGGGATGCTCCCATTTCCATGGAAACCCTGGAAAAGATCCCAGTGGGATGTGGGAGAGGATCCTGGAGCACCAGGAAGGGGGGAGCTGAGGACTGGGAATTTCGGGACACGAGTGGGGGGGGATTGGAGAGGGAATTTGGGAGGGGTCCAGGTGTGTCCAGGTGTGTCCGGGTGTGTCCAGGTGTGTCCGGGTGTGGTTCCCAGCACGTGTCCTCACGTGTGTGGGTTGGGAATACGGAGCTGGGAATGGCTGCGTGTGCCAGGAACATCCCATGGGATGTGTCCATCATCCTGGTGTGTGTCCACCCCATCCCATATCCCATTATCCCACTGCATTCCCACCCCATCCCAATCTCAATCCCAATCCCATCCATCCCATCCCATGGATCCCATATCCCATATCCTGTATCCCGTTATCCCGTTATCCCAGTGCATTCCCACCCCATCCCAATCCACATCCCAGTTCCATCCCATCCCATCCCATTCCAATCCCAATCCCATTCCATCCCATCCCATTCCATGGATCCCATCCCATATCCCATTATCTCATTATCCCATTATCCCTATGCCAGTGCCCATCCCATCACATTTTCCCATTTTCCCATTTTCCCATTTTCCCATTTTCCCATTTTCCCATTTTCCCATTTCTCCATTTCCCCATTTTCCCATTCCATGTTCCCATCCCATTATCCCATCCCATCCCATGGATCCCATCCCATCCCAATCCCATTCCCAGGATTCCACCACTGACCTGATCCCTTCCTTCCCTCTGCAGGTCCCAGGATTGCTCTTCCTGCAGAATTCCAAGGATTTCCTCACCATGACTCTGGCCGGTACGGCACCCCCATCCCGATCCCAAAATGGGGCTGGCTATCATCCCAATCCCAAACCTTTCCCTGGAATGTGGAAATCCCTCCATCCCTCTGATCTCAATCCCAAACCTTCCCTGGAATGTGGAAATCCCCCTATCCCTCTGATACCATTCCCAAAACTTCCTTGGCACATGGAGCCTCCTCATCCCTCTGACCCCAATCACAAACTTTTCCTGCCATGTGGAGCTCCCACCCACCCCTTTTATCCCAATTCCACCCCTTCCCTGGCACATGGAATCCCCCCTCATCCTTCTGATCCTGATCTCATCCCTTCCCTGGAATGTGGAAGTCCCCCCATCCCTCTAAACCCAATCCCAACCTTCCCTGGCACTTGGAAATTCCTCAACCCCTCTGATCCCAATCCCACTCTTCCCTGTCACATCGAATCCCCCCACACCCGTCTGATCCCAATTCCACCCTTCCCTGGCACTTGGAAATCCCTCAACCCCTCTGATCCCAATCCTACACTTCCCTGGAATGTGGAAATTCCCCCATCCCTTTGATCCCAATCCCATCCCTTTCCTGGCACTTGGAAATCCCTCAACCCCTCTGATCCCGATCCCACTCTTTCCCTGGCACATGGAATCTGCCCTCACACCCCTCTGATCCCAATCCCAAACTTTTCCTGGCACCTGGAGCCTCCCCATCCTTCTGATCCCAATCCCATCCCTTCCCTGGCACTTGGAAATCCCTCAACCCCTCTGATCCCAATCCTACACTTCCCTGGAATGTGGAAGTGCCCCCATCCCTCTGATCCCAATCCCACCTTTCCCTGGCACTTGGGAACCCCTCCCTCCCTTTTCCTTCCATCCCAACCCTTTTCCCGGCACCTGGAGCCGCTCTGATCCCGAATCCCGAATTCTCTTCCCAGCCTACAAGGAGAAGATGAAGGAGCTGCCCCTCGTCTCCCTCTTCTGCTCCTGTTTCCTGTCGGATCCCCTCAACAAACCGACCTACACCTACGAAGGTGGGACCCCCTTCCCAATCCCAACACAATTCCCAGAATTCCGGGATCTCTTGGGGAGGGCTTCAAATCCCTCCCCCCCCTTTGGCATGAGTGGGGCCAGGCTTGAACTGAATTTTTGGGAATTTTTTGGGAATTCAGCAGAATTTTTGAATTCAGGAATTCAACTGAATTTTTTGGGATCTGGAGGGGATTGGGCAAACTCAGCCCCCTCAACTCTCCCAGATATTCCCCACTTTGCCCCACAGATGGGTTGGGATCCGGAGGAGCTCTGGGATCCCTTCATTCCCTCATCCCAGAGTTTGGGCTCCGTGTTTTCCAGTCTGATCCATGTCCAGAGACCATGGAAAAAAATGTCCAGTCCAAGGGGGATCTACCCTGGAAATGGGATCACATTCCCATTCCCAATTCCCAAAACAGGGACACAAGGACATTCCAAACCCTCAGCTCTCCCAGAAATATCCCCAATCCCTGAACCCCAGGCTTGCATTTGGATGAAACCCACGGACAGCAGGAAAGGCGGAATCCCACTCGGCGTTCGGAATCCCGGGATGGGAATTCCCAGCCCCTCATTCCGTGCCCTTTTTTCCCCCCCTCCTCACAGACACGGTGGATCTGACCTGGTGCGTGATCTCCGACATGGAAGTGATCGAGCTCAACAAACGGACCTCGGGCCAATCCTTCGAGGTCATCCTGAAGCCTCCGTCCTTCGACGGAATTCCCGAATTCAACGCTTCCCTGCCCCGGCGCCGCGACCCTTCCCTGGAGGAGATCCAGAAGAAGCTGGAAGCGGCGGAGGAGAGGAGAAAGGTGAGTGTGACACCCCATAAATCCCTCCCCACACCTCGTTTTTGGTTTTTTTGGGGGGTTGGGAAGCGGCGTCCTTATCCCGGGAATGTCCCCTCCGCGGTGTCCCCAGTACCAGGAGGCGGAGCTGCTGAAGCACCTGGCGGAAAAGCGGGAACACGAGCGGGAAGTGATCCAGAAGGCCATCGAGGAGAACAACAACTTCATGGAGTCCAACAAGGAGAACCGCGAGGCCCACCTGGCCGCCATGTTGGAGCGCCTCCAGGAGAAGGTGGGCGCCTGGGAAAAGGGATTGGGATGAGTTTGGGGATGTTTTTTGGGGGGGGATATTCGGGATGCTGGCGGCTCTCGGGGTGGCACCCACTTCCCTTCCCATCCGAGTGCAGTGTCCCACTGGGATGGAGGGGGGGGGTCATTCCTCGGGTGGATCCGGAGGTTTGGGAGAGTTGGGATCCAGGTCTTGTCCGTGGATCCCTGGTCGTTTTTCCCCACATCCCACCAAGATGGGACACAGAATCCCAGGAATTGCAGAATCCCAGGATGGTTGGGTTGGAAGGGACCTTTAGGATCATCCAGTTCCACCCCTGGCACTTCCCACTATCCCAAATTTCTCCAAGCCCCGTCCAACCTTTCCTTGGACTATCCCAGATTTCCCAAACCCCGTCCAACCTTTCCTTGGACTATCCCAGATTTCTCCAAGCCCCGTCCAACTTTTCCTTGGACTACCCCAGGCTGCTCCAAGCCCCATCCAATTTTTCCCAGATTTTTCCCAGCCCTGTCCAGCCATTCCTCGGACACTTCCATAGACCCAGGGGCAGCCACAGCTTCTCTGGGAATTCCATCCCATCCCCTCGTACTTTTCCCCACCTCCGGGCTGGCGGATCTTCCCCTGGTCCCCTTCCCACGGATCCGTGCTGGGAGCCATTCCCACCCTTCCAGCCCCTCTTCTTTCTCCCGAATCAGGTCTGTTCCCAACCTCCGCACGGAAAATCCCACCCTCACCACCTCCAGCTCCCTCCAAAACATCCGGAGCCCGCCCAGTGCCCTTCTCCGAACGCCTCCGTTGGGGCAGAGGCGGAGAGCGCCAGATAATGCCGGAAAATCCCAGCTAATCCCAGCTCCATGGGGCTTCCCGGGACGGTTGACGTCTCCCTCGTAGCCAGAGGGCGAGGACAAAGTGTCCCCAAGTGCCACCAGCAGCCCTTAAAGTGACCCCAGGGGAGGAGACAGGACGCTGGTGACCCATCCGTGGCGTCCCTCGGGATGAACCTCGTGCCTTCAACCCCTCCGGAGCCGCTGTCCGTGGGGATCCCGGAATCCTGGAACCCGGCTAACGCCTGTTCCCCTCCTCCTTCCTCCCCTTCCTCCTTCCTCCTCCTTCCTCCTCCTCCTCCTCCTTCCCGATCCCACAGGACAAACACGCGGAAGAAGTGAGGAAAAACAAGGAGCTCAAGGAAGAAGCCTCCAGGTAAAGAGGCGCTGCTTGGACTGACAGCTCCGGGGAGGTGCCGGAGGCTTCCGCAGCTCCAGGTCGGAATGGTGTGGGAATGGTGGACGTTCCTCTGCTTTCTTTGTTCGTGGATGTGACGAGTTGAGGGGTGAAGCCATCGGAGTCGTCGTCGTCGTCGTTCCGGGGGAGGGTGGGGAGGGAAGGGATTGAGGGCGGGGAATTTTTTTTTGGGATGCCCCAACCCCCGGGACCGGGTGGGTCCCGCCCCGTCAGCCAGGGGACAGCCGAGGGCTGAGGAGGTGATCCCCGGGAGAAATCCCGGGAATACGGAGCGGGTGGGGAGGGAATTGTGGGAAATGTGCGTCGTGTGTGACTTTCATTTGGTGCTGGGCAGGCGGGGGCGGGCGGGAATCCCTCCGGAGTCTTCTCCATCCAATCCCATCCCATCCCATCCCATCCGTGGGCATCTCTTGGTGTCCCTCCCTCCCTTGTTCCCGCCTGGATTTGGGATCTCTTCCCAGATCCGGTGTTTTTTTGCCCTTCCAGCACCGTTTTGGGAAGGGGGAGAAGTTTCCCCTCTGTTGGAGGTGGTCAGGGAGTGAAATTCCCTCGCTCCAAAGGTTTTTTTTTCCGGCTGTCAGAGACGCCCGTGGATCCTTCCCAATCGGAAAGCCCCACGAATTCCCAAAGAAGTGGTTTTTTTGTAAAAACCTCCCCCAAAAAATAATCCCGGTGGGAATTCTTGGATGAAATCCCCCCCTTTCCCAGCTGGAAAACCATTGGCTCCTGGAGATGGAGCAGCAGGAGAAACCAGGGTGGAATGAGGGAAAATTGGGGAAAAAGGTGGAGAGCCGGAGTTGGGATGGAGCCCTGAGGAAAGCAGGGAAAAATATCCATGGGAACCCCTTGGGGACATCGGTGGCACCTCCTGGTGACACCAGGGAGGGTGGAAAACCCCCCAGTATTCCAGATTTTTTTTTTTTTTTTTTTTGGGAAGTTGCCGTGCCATTCCTGAGCCATCTTTCCCTCCAGGAAGGGTGGGAGAAGGAAGATTGGATTTTCCGGGGGTGGTGGGGGGGGTTGGGAATTCCCTCCATTCCCATGGAAGCGTTCCCAGTGCCGTGGCAATCCCAAAATTCCAAGATTCCGGATGTGAACGAGGGGTTTGGTCTCCGCATTCCAAGCCCCGATCCGGGTCCGGAGGGAATCACGGCTCGTTCCCGCTGCCAGGAGATGCCCACCCTGATCCCGGAGCCCCGGGAAAATCCTGGGAAGGGGGGAAAAAATGGGATTGGGGTCGGATCGTGGCACGAGCTGTCCCTTTTTTTTTTGTACACAACGGATGTAAATAAAACTGCCTTGGCCTTTCCTTTGGTTTCCATGATCCCTGCGGTGCTTCCCGTGTGGTTTTTTTGGGATTGGGGCATCCTGGAGTCGGGAAAAGGAGGAAAGGGAGGGAATTAGGGCGGGAGGCTGCGCTGTTTTCCATCCCCTTTCCCAAAAATTTGGTGGGATTGGAAGATTTGGGTGCTCCAGTCTCATTCCATGAAGTTTTCCCGTCCCAGACGTGGAGCAGGGAATTGGATCCAAATTCCATCCCTGTGCTGGGAGAGGAGGAAACCAGGAAGGAGCTGGATGAGGCCGGATGATCCAGCAGGGAATCGATGGAATATCCAATGACAATTCATCCATTCCTCAGGGTTGGGAGATCCTGGGAATTCCTGCTCCAGATCCAAGGAGGAAGTGAACGGGAAGGTTCCTCTCCCATTTTTTTGCTCCATTGGAAAATGGTGGCCAAAATTTAGGAGCAGCATTCCAGAGGGTCCAAAGTGTCCGTTCCTGCTGATCCAACCCTCCCAGATCCCGGATTCTGATCCTGGGAATTTTTGAGGATGGGTGATTCCCGTGGGTGTGGGATCAGACAAATGCAGGGAAAGGGTTTGGAATTCCCTATGGATGCTGCTGGGATTCCTGTGGTGTCCAGGTGGGACAGGAAGGGAGGAGGGAAAGAGGACATGGATCCATCCACACATCCTGAAAAACCTGGGATGGAGGGAGGTGACCCTGGAATGGGATGAGCTTTGGGATCCCTCCCCACCCAGAACATTCCATGATTCCAGGATCATCCCGCTCCGTGGCCTGAGGAATCCTGAGGATTTGGGGAATCACTGCTCTCCCATTGGTGCTTTCCGCTATCCCAGGGTGCTCCAGCCTTTCCTTGGACACTCCCAGGGATCCAGGGATTCTCTGGGAATTCCAGCCCAGCCAGGAATTCCTTCCCAAATCCCTTTCCCAGGGAATTCCTTCCAGTCCCAGCTCTCCCAGCCTGGCATTGGATCCATCCCCATCCCGACTCCTCTCCGGGAAGGAATTTCAGGATCCAGGGGCTTCACTTCCCTTTTCCATCCCTGAATTCCATAAAAATCCCTTGGGATGGATCCTGAGTGTCCTGGATCCCAGAATCCTGGAATGGTTTGGGATGGGATCCATGGATTTCAATCCCGTCCCATTCCAATCCCACTATCCCAGGGTGCTCCAACCTTCCCCTGGATGTTCCCAGGGATTCTCTGGGAATTCCAGCCCAGCCAGGAATTCCTTCCCAATTTCCCCTTTCCCACTGGAAGCCATTCCCTGGCTCCTGGCCCTCCAGCCCTTTCCCAAATCCCAGCTCTCCTGGAAACCTCTGGAAAAGGCTCCCAGCATTCCCTG